CAGAGTCAAGCTGCTATATAACATGATGAACTGAAAAAAAGAAACAGAAGCTTCCAGTCTAGAAGGCGCAAAAAGCAACTATGTACCAAAGGAAGTCTTTTATACTCAGGTTGTCAAGGAAGTGCTATGGACAGAAGTTTAATCTGCCTGCCCATGGGTGAGGTGCAGTACCTGACATGTAACTTGTTCTTCCGTTTTACTCCCATGGATCAGTGCAAACTTCTGGTTATTTGTAAGGTTAAGGAACATGCCATTAGAAGAAGCCTTTCATGACAAACAGCTCAGGTATTTGACTTCCTCAAAACAGTAGATGTTGGTTTTTGCTCTAGCTCTGGTAAATCATTAAAATGATTAACTAGAAGCTATTCATTATCCGAGTGCCAAGGTGTGTGGACAGCACAAAACAAGGTCTTGCAAACGGCTTTTCTTTCTGTTATTCAAAGAAAAAATTGCACATCCAGGATAGCCTACACAATTCATTCTGATTACTTAATTTCTGGCTCTTTTTTTAGTCACAGGTTAGTGGTATTTGATGTTAGTACATGTGTCTCCATTCAAAGGGGCCAGAGAATGCTGCCAAAGCAGAGCTGTATCATTGGCTTAAACTCAGAAAGAAATTCAGGTGCATATTCAAGTAACACCTCCTCCAGCTTCTGGCAATGCGTTTATCAGGAAACAGGGAAAAGAAGACACACACCACCACACCAGGTTAAGCACAAGCCTCTGGGACCCCAGGCCCGGTTCTTCAGGGTCTGACCAGAGAAATGCTCAATTTCCTTGTTCTCATTCTCTCCTAGGACAAAGGAGACTGCTTCCTCCGCAACAATGCTCATGACAATGTGAGATACGGACACAGCTCTTGTAAAATTACACACATAAAAAAGACCAAACCCAGATGAAATTTAAGGGAAGAATTCAGGCCTCATGAGAATTATTCTTCCTTCTACCACTGGCTCACCGCTCCTGTCTTATAAGCAGTCTTTGCCTCAGTTCCTCTCCCACACCTCTGGCAAGTCTGAAGACTTATTTGTCTTCCGGGGGTGTTTTAAGACGTAATGGATGTTTTATTATATAGTACCATAAGCCTTTTGGATGAAAGGACCAATGTAAACTCAAAGAAATTACTAATGAAAGCTATTAATAATAGATGTAATTACAGGGCTTTTGTACTGATTCAAGAACTTCAGAATACTTCCACATCTGCATTATCCGTTTATGATTTAACAAAAGAGGAAGATAACAGATTTTTTACAGAAATTTGTAAAAGACATCAATTCTACATTATTATTTGTTAAAAAAAGAAAGGATTTAATCTGGGAAAAAAAAACCCAAACCCACAACCAAACCCAAACCAACCCAAATATATACTGGGAGTGGGCTAAAAAGGAAGGGGAACAAATCTTTAAGATATGGTACCAATTTCTACATCATAAAAAAGCCTCTCAGAAATATGCATAGTGTAAGACTGGAGGGAGGAACATTATGGCTATCTCTAGAAAACTCAAAACTAGACACAGATTAAGGCACTGAATATCATAAGAGAAGGAAAAAAAAAAAAAGAAACAAAACCAAACAATAAACATTAAAAACAGAACAGTAGAGAAGAAAATGGATGAAAGAGAAATAGGAGATTGTTTTTAATGGAAAATAAGAAGAAAATAAGAAAGGTCACATAAACAAAATAGCATATAATCAGATAACTTTATACCACATTTTATATTCCTCTGTATGTCATTGCATGTTTCTTGCATACAAACATTGAACTTTCAATGATATGAAGATGTGTAATGGTGTCACTCCTCCTAAGAAGTCTTCCAGTTGTGGTTTCCTTGACTTTTCCAAGTTACTTCTACCTTTGAGATGAAAAGGTTTTCAAACTGCACACATTATGAGTCAAATCTTATTAAAAAAGCATCTAGCAGTATCTGATACTACGAAATGAACGATTAACTGGTCCATTTCTTCTTCACCGTCACCTTTCCTGGTACCACAACTTTTACATATTCCCTGATTAATTAGAGCTCTTCAGAGAATAAGCAACCCCCCAACATAGTTTTCTCACAACAAAACTCTAAGATATAAGGTTTTCCTGGTATATTTCCTGCCTTTCTTGTCAGGACCCCCCATAAGTCCTGTTAATGCATCTTGAAAGTGGTTGGATCATGCTCGGCATAGAAACTGAGGGGAGTTGACCAGGAGCCACTGATCACTGCTCAGGAATGGGATGGGCATCAGTCAGCAGGTGGTGAGCAACTGTGCTGCCTTGGTCAGTGCTGCACTCTTTGATGTCAACAAAAACCTGAGTTAAAATTGCAAAAGCAAGCCTGAATAATACTAAACCTTCAGCAGACAAACCAACAGGTCTTCATTCAGTTTGCCAAAAGTCTAATTTTGCCTTGATTAATATTTTGAAGGTTTTTAAATTAACACTAGTATATAATGACTCCCACAGGATTTTGCAAAAAGTCATGATCTGTTGCTTGTGTTCAACGCAAGTATCCACTAGAGAAACGAGTTGATATGCTTGCTTGATGTTCACAAAGCATTTTGAAGATGAAAAATATCATGTGATAAACATAAAGCTAGTCTGACCATCTTCTCATTACACTACAGATAGATAGAGAATCTGTCAGAACAAGAAAAACGACATACAAAGCTGGTCTGGTGAGAATCCTGTTTTGCCTTTGAAAAAATGTTTAAATAATTGATAGTTTCAATAATAGATAGTTTCAAAGTATTAAGCATTTCTTTGCTCATCTCTTCAAAGGCATCCCCAAATACTTAGAAATACAACTATTTTCCTTTTCATGTTTGATAGAAGGAAGTATTAAAAAGACTCTTAAAAATACAAATAAAGACATCTATCCACTTTTTGATCCACTTTTATCTAAAATTAAAGAAGAAATGTGAGGGCTTTACTTGTCCCACTGTAATAAAAAAACCTCACAAAAAGACTCTGATGTAGAACTAATTTGCGTTCTGAATGTGCTGAATGGACTACAGAGACTATAGCAACCTTTAGAGAATCTTTGCTTCTTTAAAAAGGTAATTCATGCTCTATCTCCTTCTACAGAAAATGAAAGGTTGAAAGATGTAAATTAGACAAAACAAACAAACCTTTCATAGCACACTAGTTTCAGGTCTCCTGTGCACTTACTAAAATTTCAACAGCTCCTTACAATTTCAAGCACAGTAAATTTGAGCCATTTGACAAACGACTCATCACCATTTTATTTTAGGGTGGCTACATACAGATGTATATTTCAAGGACAGAGGTATTGAGAAACAACTTCTTTGAACTTGTTTTTCCCTTCCTTACCCTATCCCTCATGCCATCAAATGGATGACAGGTTTTTTCATCATTTAAAACTCCCCAAATTTCCATCCTGGCTAACTGACTTTTAGGTTACATACCATGCAGTGCTTGTACATCTTCACATTTCTTTAGTTCATATGTTGGAACCTGCTGGCCCATCTCAACAGGCTTTAACAGGTTGATTGAAGTCCCAAAGAGAATCAAGTTCCTGTTCACGTCATGAAAACTGAGGACTGCGGGAAACAGAAATGTCCTCTAAAAATGGCGATTAAGAAATTGGGAACGTGCACTTGTCTCCTATGACAGACAGTGAGCTTTTCTAAAGGCTCAGCTCACACAGGAGGTTTCTGTTAGACACCAGAATTACCTTAGCTCCACTTTTCATGGGGTTGTTCATTGGAGGGCAGTAAAGTTAAGCTCAAAAGCAGTGAAATAGCAATTCAATAACAATCCAGAGAGGAAAAAAGGCCGTGAGAGGTCATCCAGCCCTCCCCTGCCCCAAAGGTATGATTAGCTAGATCTAAACTATTTCCCAATAGATGTTTATCTAACCTGCTTTCAGAAACATCCACAAGCTCCCCCAGCAATCTAGCTCAATGCATCAGTATACTACTTGTTTCCTTCACAGCACATATGAAGGACAGGCTATTTGCTATATCTTAGCACCTTTTACCTTCAGATTTCATTGTGCTTCCCACTTTTCACAACTAAACATGCTCCACTTTTTCTACTTTTTCTCATCTACCCTTCTCATGATTTTCATTGCTCTACTCTGGATTTTACCAGTTCAGACCTGCTAATTGCAGTGTCAAAACTGTTCGTGAGACTTCTTATTTGGGGCTTGTAAGATTTCTTCTGTTGAAGGGCTTGTTATAAGCATTTTTCAGACATTTGTTTATTTTTTCAGTCCCTCCATAATGCTGCCCTTTTCCACACCAGATCACATTACCTGCCATCCCTCCCCAGCCTTTCTACCCCAAACCTTGCTCTTTATGTTGTGCAAGACAGCAATCAATACACAATCTTTCCCCTCTTTCCCAGGTGGAATAAACCCAGCTCCCCAGTCCCCTCTTCCTATGTTACATGTGTCAGGTCCAAGACCACTGCTGTGGCTTTGTCTGGCCTCTCTCAGTTTACTTCTGTACTTTTGCACACTCTCTTGCAAATGCGGTCACACAGGAGATGAATAAAGGGTAGTGATTACTTCCCTCAACCTGTTCAGGACCTGCTGGCTATGCATATGAGAGGGGTAGTTCAGAAGTCCATGCCATAACCAAGGGGACCTTCTTCCCCACGGGTGCACAGGCAAGCTGCTCCCTGCCCTTGGCTTCAGCTTCCACCCCAGGCTGACACTTGCGGTTGCCATCCCACCCCAGGCGTTTGCCCTCCTCCTTCTCTGCAGCCAGTAGCTCCCTCTTGCCTCAGAATGGTTTGCATGGTAGGGGAGCCTTGCCTGCTCCATACAGGAGCTGGGGTGTGCTGAGGTTGAGAGGAGTCATATTTTCCCTTGTCTACCCGTCTGCTGTGTCTACTTTTGAAGTAAGACTGCAAGCTCTTCAGGGCCAAGACCATCTCAAGGCACTTAGCTATAGAATTACAGTAACATAAATGGTGAGTAAGAGTAAATACAGTATTTCAGTGTTACTAGAAAACAAACATGAAAGGTCCAGCTGGAAGCAAATGCCATTTTACAGATTCCCAGTTGATCAGCCACTCATTTAGCCCCTCCTTCTGTCTTAGAAATCAGTATGAACTGCAATGGCTGGCTCAAGCCCAAACTTGGGGCTTGACTGGGGCCCTCAGCTGTCCCTGGGCTGAACCACCAAGCAGCGTGGCTCCTCTGGGATGGTAATGATCCCCACATGGGATTGCATAGGACAGGCCTTTGCCTGTGGAAGGAGGGCAGGCAGGCTGTGGAGGCCGGGGCAGCTGTACACCAGGAAACCTTCCATCCGGCTGTAGCAGGGATGAACGACACCACCTTGATGGGAAGGTATTTCCAAGCACTCCTTCTGCCACAGCAATCAAAGGTTCTGTCATACAGAAAGCAAACAATCAGGCAAGCAAAACAAAAAAAAAAAGAGGGACTTAATTGTTGTTTCCCTGAAAAATAAGCAGAGATCCCACAAGGTCTGTAAAAGCCTTCAATATCAAGCACTAATTTTACAGGGAAGGCAGTCAGACTACAACTCACAAGGACATTGATTTCAATAGGAATTCTAAGTCAGGCACCAAATTACCTTTGAAGACCTGGGCTTTAATTACTGCTGTTACAGAAAGCAGTGTAAAACCTGCTGACAAATAGCAAATGCCTAATAGGAGTTTTGCAGACACTCAGCAATGAGTGCCTCTGTGCTGAGGAACACATGATATAAGACTGGAGACAAAACAAGAGTGGGTAGAAGTTGAGCAATGTCAGCCTGCATTGCTGAGTAAGAACAGACCTGCTAAATGTAAACATATTGAAATACTCATTGAAGTCACAGACCCCTACCAGCTACCTAGCAAGATCCACAAATCCTTAGCAGATTAGATCACACATTTTGGGATCAAAGTTGACATCTCAGTCAGGTCACAGGAGTCTATATAGATTCTCTACCTCTCATCCAGTTCCTCCACCGTGTTAGCAATGTATTTTTGCTTACTGTGAGACTGTGGTAAAGGGCTTAGATCAGTGCCAGGTTAACAGGGCTAAATTACCGTGGAGTTTGCATTGTGTCCTGAATATAGCTGAGTGTTGTTTTGATATTTTAATTTCAGTAAAAACATGGACTGGCAGGGGACAAAAATCCCCAGAAAACCAAACCAAACAAAACCAAAGTAGTCCGTCATCCTGGTAATGCTTCACGTTGGCTCATTTACTGGTAGCACTTTGCAGGAGGGCACACCTTACGGAAGCCTGAGGATTTTGAAATGGAGGCAATGACTAATTCCAATGTGAAAAATCTGCTGCGTTGCGTGTAGTTTTCTGTTAGCTTCCTGAAACAGGAAGGTTAACGAGATCAGAGTAGTTATCATAGCCTTAAAAAGGAATTTGAAGATACTTTTGGAAACCTACAGAAAGACACCAAATGCCAGCAAGTTTCAGAAAACATACAAAATTTTGTAGATAGTAGGGTACATGACAGCAAATAGCAGCAGCAGCAGCAGATACATGACAGCAAATATCATCATGTCTCAAGATAACAATATCACATTTTTACATTACTCTTAGAGTCCTGCCAAAGGACTTTTTTTGCTCATTATTAAAAAACTTATTTGTACTGCAACATTGAAACACTGAAACTGCCATGTTTGAGCAAAGACTCCATCACGTCTGTATTCTGTATCATATTTTATGATTCTGTGAAGTCCATTTTCATGCTATTAATGTACCACGGACTGTCTTAGTAACTAAAAAACTACCAGGTAATTGCTTGCAGAGAAAATTCACTGACTCCTAAAGCAACGAGGGTCCTCAAACCATGGTTACTACCAATTTTAAAATTGTTTTTAAATCCCTGTTATTATGGCTCTAATTGCTATAATTAGCTGTAGGTACTCAATCAGTTCTGAATCCTACTAGTCTAATCAATCAGAGTATATGCATTTGTAACTGTACTCTGACATATGTATCTCTCTGGTCTGAAAGTTCAGTCTTATCTCTCAAAACTGTTTGCATTTTATCTAATTCAGTAGGAAAAAAATATACAGCATTTGCCAAGTGAAGTTTACATATTCAGTGTAATGAACACAGACTTTAAGTCCACATTATGCACAGTAAGCAATCTGAAAAAGGTCCACGCTGTGTTTACAATGAGAGTTGTTGAAAAGAGGGAAACAGAACAATTGCTTTCACAGAGGCGTTGCTTCCTTTAATAATTTGTGCCACATAAAGAATACTTTTCACACTAGGTCATTCAGGAGAGATTTTGGTGGAATGTGATCATTCAGTTTATGCAGCAAAACCAAGCTACCACGATTTAATTCTGCTGCGTGCTCAGTTTTTATATTGTGCATCCATCAGTTGTTAAAGCATAGCTCCTGCTAAGCTGAAAGCACAAAAGAGTCTCGGTTTGTTTCTGAAAAGTTTGAAAATGTTTTATTCATGTATTTGTAGCACATACATTGCAGGGAGTACTGCTGGATTCAAGAGAGAATTGAATGACCGTTCACAGATGAGATTTCATTAGTTTAGGATTTGGGTTGGGCTGTATCAAATTGATCATGTTTCTTCTTCAGCTCCAGGTCATTCATTCTGGACATTTTGATGAAGACTAAACCAGAGCAATTATGCATTCATGAGCAGAATGGTGAGGGCTTCTCTTGGAAAACTGAAGGCTGATAACCAAAGTAAGGATCAAGTATCTTTCCCAAGGCTGCTGCATAATGATGAAAACATTGCATCTTAAAGCACGTACTGCAGAAGCCTAGTACTGCTCTTTAAACTGCTGCAGGTAAAACGATGAATTTAAAATAACCACCTTTATCTGTTGGGGCACAGTAGACCTGTACAGTGCATAAAATGTAACGTGCTCTCTGTAATGAAGAGGTTTGTGCTGTTCAGAGGTGGAGCTGACAGATCCTGTTTCAAAGTTATTGTTAATGCAAAACCAAGAAATGTTCCCAATTGTATCCATTACAATCAAGTTGCTGGATGATAAAGCCTGTTGTCTAAATCATTTCAGTCATGTATGGGAAATCAAATCCCTATGAAGCCTGAATGCACACAAAATGCAAATCACTCTGAACTGCCTCCAAGGTATGCATGTTTATATACATCCTCGCTTTCAGGTACAAGGTGTCATTGTGAGGTCTGCTGTGGAGACTGATGTAACCTGAGTGCAGGGAAATGCTGACTTGGAAAGATGCAGAAAAAAAACCCTGGTCTTGCAAGCATTCCTTCTCATGAGCCCTTCCATAGGCCAATGGGTGGTGCAAGAACTACTCTCAGGAGAAATTATTCCATACGAAATATTGTACTAATGACTTTAGGGAGTATACTGCTGTCTTGAGCTAGCGTGAGGGTATTTGCATTGTACAGGTAAATCCTAAATGTTTGAGGGATTAGGCTAAAACCTGTGAATGCCTTGACAGAATAGCCCTGTGTTCATTTGAAAAGTCATTTATTGAGACATGAAAAATGTCACATCTCCACAGAGAATGCAGGGCTGTTCTTAGCATAACACAGCAGCACCATGCATACTGCCTTTCACACATGGAGAGAAAGGTTCAGAGTAGATGATTTCATCTTGTTGAAAACAAGGAAAGCACTAGCAGAAGCTTATGGGTATGACAGCATTGGATCAGGCCCAAAATACCTCACCTTGTGGAGCCTTCTTGTTGAATGGAAGTTGTTCATTCAAAGTCCCTGCAGATTTCTAAACCAGCTGAAAACTGCAATTTAAAAAAACTAAAGGGCTATTCAGAATATGATGCTGTGAAGGAAGGAACAGTAGTAGGCTGCACACAAATTCTAAGCGCTCATTTTAGGCTATTTCATTCAAATAACAACACTATGCTTTATTCAGTATATATGTGGCAAGCGTATGTTTACAATGAAAGCAGTGCCATGCATCAGACAGAAGCAGAATTGTTTCAGAGTCATTGCAACATACGTTATCCAGACACACTCCAGATGGACAGACTCATTAAAGTGAGAAGCATAGGTAAGTGCTGGCTCCAGTTCTTATAGGTGTCATTTAAAAAAATTAAATAGTTGTGAAGTGGGTAGGCTCCATTCTTCTCCCTTCCTCCCGCCTTCCCATTTTGTTACATAAATCCATCATGCACTTTTTCCCTGGGTAGACTGCTTCCTCACTGATCCCATTGTTTTGTGAATGGAACAAAGTTGCCAGATTGTTTTTCTAAATCACTCATCTGGACTGGTGAAAATCTCAAACACTCCAGAGGCTTTAAAAAAAAAAAAAGAAAAAAGAAAAAGAAAAAAAAAAAAAAAAGCACACCACCACTGAAGCCAACCATCCCACTTCATTTGAATATTTACCAAAAAACTTAACTTCAATCATATCCTTATACCTCATTTATTTTAATGGTACATCATAGAATTAAGGCCCATTGTTGCAGCCTTTTTTGATCTGTCTCTTTTGGGAGAGTCTCTCAAGTTCAGTTTTGGATTTTTATTTTAATAATAAAAAAAAATACAGGACAGGTAATGGTTGGTTATCTTCATGCTTTCTTCTGGAGCACTTACAGGAAAGCTAAACAAGGGAACAATGTGCTCCTCTACTCCTTGTGCATTCCAAGATTTATTCAAACAGCCAGCTTTGATAAACTCATCCTGCTCCTCGGGTTTGCTCAGCCTACTGGAAAAGTAAAGGAACACAATCAAAGGCCTGCCACGCTGCATTCTCTCCAGAGCCTTGGCCTTGGGAGGCCTCTCCAGGGGCCTCTTTCCCACTGACAAATGCAGACGGTTGTGCAGCCTGCCTAAGTAGCATGGCACTTTTAAATGTTTTTCTCCACAGTCAGGGAGTAAAGATAACCACTCAGAATAGCTTTGGGCCTTTAAGGGTTGTTAGAAAGTAGCATACCCGGAAAACAACAAAAGCACCGTTTTGGAATGTCATGAACTGGAACTATTTGTTTTTGAATTCTCGTGCAGGTGTTTTTTGCTTTTCAGCAAAATACTACACATGCTCCTACCTCTTCCACTCTGTCCTTCACTGAGCATGGTGATCCTGTATTATGAGGATATTCTTATGATATTACTATAGTCTGTGAGAGACAGAAACCTCAAGCAGTTAATTCACATTTGACAACTGGAAAGTGAAAAACAATTTTAGCTATCATAAGAAAAAATACCTCATTGTCACATTAAGAACTAAAGGAAAACTCTATGTGCTGTTTATCTAAAATGAAAGATTAAGATAGCTTGAAAGTAAACAGGCTGTAGTAAGTATGGAAATCTTACTACAGTTACTAGAGATGTTACTCAAATCTCACTCACTGATTTCAAAGCAGAATCCAGATTCCCAGTGTTGCTAAACCTCACAGAGAAATAAAACTAAGTACACTTCAGCAGTTCTAGACCTTGAGGTTTTTAATCACATATACCATCTTGCTTAACAGTTCATTCACTTTAAGCAGGCAACTTACAAGTTTTCGTAGAAGTGTCTGGAAGTGCATCTAGAATGCATTGCCTGTCCACTGGTTTATTTACAGTTTTTTTCCAATGAAAATCAGTAGCTAATAAATCAAAGCATAATTACACAAACACAAAAATACAATCATTAACATTTTACTGGATACAAATGATAAGCATAAGGAAATGTCCATGTACTCTGACATGAATTTGTGTTAGTTTGCTATTAACATGTGATATTCTGGATTGGTGGTAATATAACTGAGAGGTGTGCACCTTAAAAAAGAAAAGGTAATTCGAGAGCCACTCATATTTGACATGATCTTATACCACAGTATCTATCTGTACACAGCGATGTGATCATGTATACTCACATGTGATCATATCAACATTATTCATTTTTTTCTGACAAGGTTTTACCATCAAGGCAGTTGAACCTCCTCAACAACGCTTGCCCTGATCAAGTACCAGATTCTATTATCTAAAGTGTTGGATGATACAGAAACAATATGTGCAAGTGTAGCAATTTTGATTCAGAAAATTCTAAAAAAGTAGTATTTACAAAGGTAACTTTTAAATTCACTGATTAAATTATGATTCCAGTCTTCATATTCCAAACACCTGGTCACTTAATTTCTTATTTTTGGCCTTTTGCTCTCCTTTCCCCATTCCTTCTCCCCCCCACAAATATTAGCCCATGCTTAAAGTAAACTATCACAATTAAAACTATTCAGAACAAAAAAAAAGAAAAACCAAAACAACAAAACCCAACCAAAAAAAAACCAAAAAAACAGTAAGTTATTCACCTTGTGCCAAAATTAAAAAAAAGCAGCACTAGAACATTACTCAGAAGATTCCACAAATCCTTCATCATTAAGGAAAGTTCCAGGAGCAAAAAGACCTTACACAATTCGTAGAACCTGGGAGGAGAAATTGGGGAAAAAGGAGATATTTATCCCTTGATTTTTTCTGGTTTTGCCTGAACTTAGCTTACAAAAAGCTCCTGGTACTTTTCCCAGTGTTCCCACACCTTATTTCTCTGGCACATATGGTTT